ACATACGTAAATCAATAAGTGTAATCCACCATATAAATAAAGCCAAAAGTAAGAATCACATGATCATTTCCATAGATGCAGAAAAAGCTTTTGATAAGGTGCAACACTTATTTATGATAAGAACCTTACAGAAAATTGGAATAGATGGTCTTTACCTCAGTATAATAAAGGCCATCTATAACAAACCAACAGCCCGTATCATACTAAATGGCCAAAAACTGAAGGTCTTTACCTTAAAATCAGGCACAAGACAAGGATGTCCCTTATCACCACTCCTATTTAATATAGTACTGGAAATAGTAGCCAGAGCAATTAGACAAGAGAGAGAAATAAAAGGGGTAAAGATAGGAAGAGAAGAAGTTAAATTATCATTATTTGCATATGATATGATATCTTACATACAAGAACCCCAAATCTTCATTGAAAGACTCCTAAATATAATAAATTCAGCAATGTAGCTGGATACAAAATCAATACTCAAAGATCAATAGCATTTCTATATACTGACAACAAAATCACAAAGAGAGAAATAAGAGAAGCACACTTTTCACGCTAGCATGCAAAACAAATGAAATACTTAGGAATTAAGGAATTATTCTCATGAAAGAAGTGAAAGACCTATATAGGGAAAATTATAACACACTGAAAAAAGAAATTGAAGAGGATCTCAGAAAATGGAAAGACATCCCATGCTCATGGATAGGAAGAATAAATATTGTGAAAATGACCATTCTCACAAAATTGTTATACAGATTCAATGCAATCCCAATAAAAATACCACCAACATACCTTAAGGATTTAGAGAAGTCACTCCTAAAATTCATCGGGAACCAGAAGAGACCTAGAATAGCACAGACTAAAAGCAGCAAAGGCAAGGCAAGAGGTATCATAATTCCTGACTTGAAGTTATACTACAAAGCAACCGTAGTAAAATCAACATGGTACTGGAATAAAAACAGAGCCGAAGATCAATGGAATAGATTAGAAGATACAACCACAACTACAAACACACTCACCCATCTTATCTTTGATAAAGAGGCCAAACATGTTCACTGGAAGAACGACAGCCATCTTTAATAAATGGTGTTGGAAATCCTGGCTCTCCACATGCTGAAAACTAAAACTAGACCCATGCCTGTCACCATATACTAAATTAAAATCTAAATGATCAAAGATCTGAATATTAAAACAGAAACACTAAATCTATTGGAGGACAAATTGGGTAAAAACCTTGAAGACATAGGGATAGGTAGAGAATTCATGAATAGGAATCAAACCGCATGGGAAATACTTCCCACAATCAATAACTGGGATCACCTCTTATTAAAAAGTTTCTGCACATCAAAAGAAATCTCCAGCATCATGAAAAGAAAACCCACAAACTGGGAAAAAATCTTAGTGAACTGTCCCTCAGACAAAGGACTTCTGTCTAAAACATATAATGAATTAAAAAAATCAGACCCTCAAAATGCAAAAATGGGCATCTGAGATGAATACACAGTTCTCAGAGGAAGAAATACAAATGGCAAGTAAATACATGAAAAAATGTTCACCATCATTACTCATTAGAGAAATGCAAATTAAAACCACACTGAGATTCCATCTCACTCCTGAAAGAATGGCCAGGATCAAGAAAACCATCAACAACAAATACTGGAGAGGCTGTGGGGAAAAAGGAACTCTCCTGTACTTTGGTGGGTGTGTAGACTGGTGCAACCAGTTGTGGAGGTCAGTCTGGAGATTTCTCAAAAAGCTGGGATTGGAAGTCCCATGTGTTCCAGCTGTTCCACTTCTAGGCATATTCCAGAAAAGCTGAAAACATCATACCACGTTGATATATGTGCACCCATGTTTATAGCAGCACAATGTGTAATAGCCAGATCTTGGAAACAACTTAAGTGTCCATCAACTGAGGAATGGATTAAAAAGTTGTGGTATTTTTATACAATGGAGTACTACTCAGCTATAAAAATGATCACATTGAGATATTTATAACTAAATGGGTGCAACTTGAGACCATACTCAAGTGAAATAAATCAAACTCACATGTATAAATACGGAATAGTTTCCCTAGTGTAAGAAATGATAAGAATACATAGAAGTATGTGGTAAACATTATTACTCATTATATTGCTTTGAAGACTTATAATGTTTTCATTCATCAATTGGAATGGTTTTATTCTGGGTTGTTTGATTTTATTGTCTGTGATGGTGTGAACAGTTATTCTGAAGAAAATAAGACAGTATAATAGCTAGTGCTGATATAATATCATCTTGTTTTGAAGTCCCATGAAGATTTTGTTCTTCTGTCTCCATTGGTTTATCATTTTGTATCTTATTGGATTTTCTTATATGTGATAGTATAAACAAAAATTTTTATAGACAAGGAGATAATATAGAAACCATTGTTCATTTTCTGTTAGTTGGTTCTAAATACCCTGTAATACTTTCATTCTCTTGAATGGTTTTACTGTCATGTCTTGTTTGATGCTATAATATATGAAGTTATACTCAAATATTTCAAGGAAAGAGACACTATGGTAGCTACTGTTATGTCGAGTTATCTTATGGTGAAACACTATTTTGCTTAAATTGTTCTGTTCTGACCTGTGTTATCATGTTGTTATGTCCTCTTTTGTCTTAATCTCCTTCTTTCTTTCTTTTAATTTTTTAATTAAAAAAAGAAGTTATAGTGTATATACTGCATGAATTAATGAATTTATCTACATGATGAACTATTATCACTCAGCCACAAAGAAGAATGAAATCATGTCATTTGCAGCAAAATGGAGTACAACATGTGAAGTGAAATGTGACTGAAACAAAAACAAGTATCAATTTTTTTCTCATATGTGAAAACAAAGAAAGCAAGGAAGCAAGCAAACAAAAAAGAAAGAGAGAGCATGAGAGAGAGAAAAAAGAAAGCCAATTGAAAGTAATAAGAGATTTCTAGAGATTAGGAAGGTGTTGGGGTGATGGTGGGAGTTGGGAGGGAAGAGTACAGGACGAGCATATGGACACAATCAATGCACAGCATATGCAGCCATGAAAATATCATGGTGACTCTCATTTTTTGTACAGTGGATATGTATTAGTAATAGTTTAAAGAATAAATTAATCAAAAGGATATTTAGCTATATTCACATTAAAAAGGAATAAAGATTAAAATTTTGTTAAGTGTAAAACCTAAGTTAGAAAATTAAAGTAACCAGAAAACACAATAGTGTAAAAATGAAAGAGAAAAAATATATATATACAAATAATAAAACAGAAAATGTAAAAAACTTATAGTCAAGACAATAGTCTAGAAAATTTAAATTTAAAAAAAGATTAGAAACAACCTTACTATAAACAAAGCACGCATTTGAAAAGTAGTACACTATGTCCCCACTTACAAACAAGTTCCATTCCAAGAGAATGTTTGTAAGTCTGATTCATTTCATGAGTCCAACAAAGTGAGCTTTATGTACTCTTGACACAAATGTACAATGTAAAGAATTTTTTAAAAATCCACAAATACAGTATGTCCACAGCTGTACATGACCCCACTTGTCTAGCCCAGGTGCACAGTATAACCATGACTTAGCACAGGTAAACATGCATGCACTGGTTACAGCACTATGTAAGAATATAAACATGAGATAACCTCTGTAAGATTACACAATAGAGGCACAGGCTGCTCTTGCTCCTGCACTGTTGTGCTCTGGTGCTCTGCTCCACTCCCTGCTGCCTGCTGCTGTTGCTGATGTTTTGGACAGGTGCATTCTTTAACCTTAGGACCTCACTTATAAAAATTTCCCCTGGGCTCCCTGAGTGGGCCAACAGCCATGATTATAGAAGTCAAGTCCTCCAAGAGGCTGATATCAAGATGGAGTAAGATATGCAACAGATTGTCATGAAAGTCCTATAAGGAAAAGCCCTGTAAAGGAAAGAAACAGAAGCAAGTGGAACTTTTTAACGTGTTGCCAAATTAGAAGGGAAGGTAAGAAATGGAGTAAAATGAACCTCACGCTGCAATACATTTGGGCAAAACCATTGAGCAATCTTAAATAAAAGTCACCAATTAGAGGAGTCAGACATCCCTAGGAATGAGACCCTCATTAGCACTGCTACTGTGCTCTATTGCTAACTGAATCAATAAGCAACTGAGCATCAGCTGCAATCAGTCATGTCCATGATACAGGGGTGGTGAATCCAGAGGGCAGCCTTGGAGGTGTCAATCACCTATATTCTCTGCAGTACAAGACATAGATCCCACACTCTCGTGGTTATCATAGTAACCAAATAGAGTTCCCTCAGTAATATAAAAAGTATTTAGTACTGTATTAGATATTGGGATTCTTCAGATCTCTTTGTCTAAGATACTGCACAGACCTTACTGCCATTGTTTAGAGCAAATTAGTCATTTGCCTCCAGAATTTCAGGCCCTCCTTTTTGGGCACCACTTCAGAGATGAATCAACCAGACACATTTGGAGTGCCTGTCTCCTCCTGATACTTCTTTTTTTATTTTAAATTTTTATTTTAAAGGGATAAAATTAAACACAACAAAACAGAACAAAATAGGACATAAGAAAGCAATGTAAGAGATATAAATTTCAAAGCTAGACAACCTGAGATCTTCCCTGTCTATCATATTGTCTCTTGTTTTCTTCCAAATAGTTGTCCATGTCTTTGCATACAGAGAATTCACACAAAACAACATAGTATAAAACTAATCTGAACAAAATGAGGAAGGTGTTTTAGATCTTCAAAACCAGACAATAAGGAAGTCACTAACGGGTGTCATAGAGTCTCTCATTCTCTTCAAAATAGCTGTCCAGACTTTCATGTATATTGAAGTTTAACAAAAAAAACAGGCAAGCGGGGAGGGGTTGCTTGGTTTCCTGGCGCTCAAGGTCCTGGTGTGACACGGGTCCCAGTAAATGCCAGTGGCCCCTGTCTGGGCCACCAGAGCCTACCACACTCACAGCCACTCACCAGGGTGGGAAAGGTTGCTTCAACTATTTCTTTCTAATGAACTGACCATTTTACCGCCCAAGTTCGAGGTGGCCACAGACCATAGAAAGATATCTCTTTAGGCTCTTGCTTGAAACCAGCAGAGTCAAAAAGCTGCCAGCCTTGATTCAGGGCCAGGGCCTCCGGATATTTCTGAAACTGAATGAAGCGCTATTCTGCAGAGAATGAGAGTTGGCATCCTGAGTCGTCATCAAAGGGACTAAATGATGAAATGTAGATGTAAAGAGCAGTTTACCTTCCATGAGGTAAGTTTAACCAATAGGAAACAGCATATCTGGGCAGATAAATGCCTTCTAGGCCTTCAGTGGATTCCTTTGAGACACAGTTTTCTATCTATTCTACAGAAACATCCTTACTACTGAGTAAATAAAACTAGCAAGAGAATTTCCCTGTTTCTTTATGACTAATCATAACATAGTACCAGCATAGTAATCTCTTCTCAATAGTAGCATCATTTCTATTCCCCTTCTTTCTCACTGCTTTGGGTTTTTACCTTCCTCTAAAAAGCAATGGGATTTTAATCTTTGTTTCAGATTCTATTTTCAAGAGAAGGCAGACTAAAATCTTATTAATCATATTAAAGTTGAACACCAATCATTTGAATACATGCAGAAAAAAACTGACAATATATAAAATAAGTTTAAACATACTGTAAGTCAGTAAAAGACTTTTTAATATGATAAAGGATGTATCTGAAAGTAAGAGATATAAATAAAGTTTTAATAAAGAGATAAACAATAAAGTTTTAAAGGGGGAAAGTTTAGAAATATCTTCTTTAAAAAGTATTTATAAGTCAATGATGCAGAATCAGCCATTAATCACAGTTGGGCAACAAATATGACAGCATATTGAGATGATCGAGAGTAGGATGATCACCATGATCAAGAACTGGGGTGTAACTCAGAGCCAGAACACATGCTTAGCATGAGGCCTTAGAGCACCACAAAATAGAAAAAACTGGGTTGCTAATGTGATTATTTAAAAATCTGTGCTCAGAGTTAGGGGGAAATAACAGTGATGATACTGTATTCCTAAGGCTAGAAACAGAAGAGTGATACTCTATCATTGTGGAGTTACTGAAAAATTAACTTACCAGATCTACAGAAAGCAGAGATCTGCAAGATCAAAGCCAGTGCTCTAACCCCGTAGATTTGTGGTTTGTTGACAATATCTTACATTTTTTTTCTGTTATATCCCTAGTGGGTTGACCAATATCCCACAATAAATCCAGTCCACCAAAACTTGAAAATATGGCCTTATTTGAAAACAGAGTCCTTCACGATATAATGGAGGTAAGGACTGAGATGACAGCATAATAGATGAGGCTGTTCCCTAAATCCCACAAGAGACCAAACAGGGCACACAGACAGAGGAGAAGGCCATGAGGAGATGGAAGAAGACCCTGGAATTATGCTGCCACAACCAAGAAGCACCGGGAATCACCAGAAGCTAAAAGAGGCAAAGCAGAATTCTGTCCTAGAGACTTTGAAAGAAATGAGGCCCTGCAGACATCTGGATTTTGGACTTTGAGCCTTTAGAATTGTCAGAAAGTATGTTCCCACTGTTTTAACCCACCAAATTCATGGCAGTCTGTTATGGAAATCCTAGGAAATGAATATGATCCCTAACTTTGGAGAGGAATAATTTTTCTCCTTTACTGAGTAGAAAGTAGCAAACAAGAAATGGGGATTTAAGCAACATAACTAACTTTACAATAGAAGCATAATTTACACAACTGTTCCTCAAGGTAGGCATTGGTGGTGAACCATGGCACATGTGTTCTGTGTTTTTCTTTTAAGATGGATGTTAATGTATGAGCTTTTTTATCCAAACTAAGACTTCAGTATTCAAGTTTAATTGCAGTGTTAAAATTTTGCAACAAATAACTGGATTTTGTGTTGCAGATTGGCACTCGGTTCTCTAAAAGGTTCACCATCACTAAACTAGGGGAACCATTCAAAGCCCTAATGTATTCCTTTCAGAAAGTTATGCACACACGTGCACATGTGCACATGCAACTAAATGGTATAAACACAAAATGTGATATTTAATAGATCGAAAAAACAAAGGAAAGAGCAAAAAAAGAACAAAAGAGAGAGAACGAAAGAAAGGAAAAAAGCAAGGAAAGAAGGAAGCAAAAAAAAAAAAAAAAGAAAGAAACTTATTGCTCATAACTTGTCACCCTGACCAATAACATAGGCTAAGAAAATGAGGCTAGAACAAAATACTCAACAGTCAGCAAGTCCTGCGATGTGAGCCTGTGGCTGTGATAATGGGTCATAAGTCTTAAATACACAGAAGAGACCAAAGTCTATCACATATATATTATAGACAATTTGACTACTCATTGAACAAAATAAACAAATGCCACATTCCATATATAGTATATGCCATAGTGCAAAAAAGAGTGGAGGTCAGGAACAACATGATAATGGCCAAAACTAAAATGAAATTCAACCTAAAATAAAACAGTTCAAAGAACAGAGAGTATAAGCCTAAAAAAGTAATAGTCAGAATGTATTGCTAATAAAGCAACTATTTAAAAACAGCCAAACAAAAGAATAAGATGAATAAGGATTAGAAATCTAAGGAAACAAAATATGGATTGCAATTTCTAAAGAGAACTAATACTAATATACAGTTAGCAAAATACAAGAGATAGCACTGAAAACCAGTTACCACAGTAGAGGAGGATTTGAGATGGCTATGAATTCAAATGCAAGAAACAAATGCAGACAAATGTGATTAAGTCTTAGATCACAACTAATGCAAACTCAAAGTCAAGAACTCATCAACATGAGCAGTGATATAAAAATAAAATAGAAGTAAATTTCCCTGAGATGAAAACAAAATAGAATCTCTTTATCAAAAGACAAAAGAACAAAAACAAACAAACAAAGCCAAAGCTGTGCATGGTGACATATACCTGTAATCCCAGCACTTAGAAGGCTAAGGCAAAAGGATCATGGTGAGTGTGAGGCCAGCCTGGGCTACATGATAAGTTCAAAGCCAACCTGAACTATACACTGAGTCCCTGTCTCAATATACAAAAAACAAAAAAGTCCAAATTCCAGGAAAAGTTAACATAGAATACTTGGGACCATGGGGATCACCACATATTCTAATGAAGCAGGTGATGTCAATAAATATCAACCAAAGAAGAAGAGGGGTGAGAGTGGAGAAAAAAGCTTCTTGACCTTTCCACAGAAAACCAAAGAATTTGCTGATTCTATGATTGCCTTACTTCTTGTTAGCCTCTGTTGTTTTTATGGAGCCGAGGATGGAAAAATTCAGCACTAGAAAGAAAAATTCGTTTTAAGCGAATTCTTTTCCTCATCTGTATTTTCACTTCCCATTGCATGCGTTGAGTGACACAGCCAGAAATAAAAATCAGCTAAAGGCACTGACCCAAAGTAGCAGCTACATGCATTTTTGTTTTTTAAACAAGGAATCAAACTCAGAACCTTGTGCTTGTGAGGCAGGGGCTTGTGCCACTGAGCTATATCCCTAACCCTAGTAGTAGCCACTTTTGACCTTAGAAATCTCTTCAAAAAAGCTACCAAGAAAGGCAGTGAACACGGGACAAGAAGAAAATAATCTAAAATAAATTCACAAAAGTTTATTACTGCCTTGAACAACAAAAAAATGTTTGCACTATCAAAATTAAAGACTGTTTACCTGTAATCTAAAAAATCAAAGTACCACTGGCAGGGAGAAATTTTGGACCAGAATTCAAATAGTCGATAAAATATCGAAACATACTGTGAACAGAACAAAGTAGGTTGAGTCATGCGTAGTAAAACATTTATAATTTCCTGTTTTTCTCGTGACTTGTTATGTAGTAAACACATACCATACTTATGACAAAACACAAAATGAGATAAGGTACTCTCTCTACTGCAACCCGTTTCTACTCCATAAAAGTGTCAGACTGGTAAAGCCTCATATTAATATTCTTTTTCTACCTAGGGGGAAAAAACCACATCTATGTAACTCGTTAGGTGTACATTTCTGAATAAAGTAGGTGATGAAATTGCAACAGAAAATCAAATCTCAGCGCCAGATCCTTATTTGTCTTTATCTCCTAAACCTATAACACATTTCACCTTTCTCCTAACGCAAGAATAACCTCAGCTCAATTGTGTGGATTAAAGTAGCTTTACCTTTTACAAGCTACAGACAGACATCTTAGGTGTTTAAGCAGGTGTGAGAGTTGCTTAGTTTAACCAAGAGAGTGATGGTCAAGGGTTAAGGTACAAAGCTGAGAGGAAACGGTCATAAAATATGCTGAAAGAGGCTGAGAACAGAGGCGGGGCAGAACAACCCTGAGCCTATTTATGTCAAGGGAGACAGAGCAGAATCCTTGCAGAAAAATATTACAAAAGTTTGCCAAATAGTAAAACTATCTTGGGCATCCTCAAAATTCCAAAAGAGGAAGAAGGACAGTGCAGCCTCTCAAATTAGTCTAGAGAAGAAGCAAGAGGTGTCAGGAACCAGGAGGCTGAACATCACTGAGGTAAAGGAAGGAGACTCAGGTTGTGTCGCAGAAAAATATGGGGAAAGAATATTGACTTTGATTAGAAGGTACATTAAGAAAAAGGATGCCAAAATATAATTCTAGAAAGCAAATGCCTCAGAAACAACAGATGTGCTTAGAATCTTCAGAAAGGAAATGAATAAACGTGAGAAAATAGAGTCTATGTATATTTGGTATTCAAAATAGTCTATGTATATTTGGTATTCAATTGTCTATTTTTACAGTTATATCTCTGGAATTCACAGGCAAGACAAAAAGATGTAAAAAGTATTTGAAAGACAGTTTGCAGAACTCTATCAGAATATGTAACAGTAAAAGCACAACAAAAAGAATTAAAAATATAATCCACAAAAGCTACCTAGGATATAAAGTTATTTTGCTTATAAAATAAGTTTAAATTCAATACAGAAAGTTAGTTTGGAGGGCCTAACCCTTCACACTCAAAAAGATCCAAATTCAGAATGAAGAAGTTAGAAACGCTATTTATGGATGCATAAGCCTCTCCCTTCTTCTCAGTATAAGAGTAACTTTCTTATTTAATTGTAATTCCATGAAATAGTTTAGCTGCATTAGAAGCTAACCCTCACTATTTTATACTATTGGTCATTTTTGATTATTCATAATCCTAAAATTTAGATAAATAGGATAGGATTATTAAAATATAGCATTTGACTATTTACAATTCTATTGGAAACAAGAACACTAACAGCAAGTCCTGAAACTGTTTTGGCCAAAAAAGGAAGTTTCTGGAAATATGATGGGTTCCTGGGAGACTCAGGGCAGCTTGATCTAGGACTACCATCACCAGGACACATGTTGTCCTCCCCTGTCACACACACACACACACACACACACACACACACACACACAGTTTTGCTCTATGTAAAACTCACTTCCCTTGTAGAGATAAAACAGTTGTAGACATTTCAAGTCTGACATTTGCACAACATCAAACTCACGTGAAAAGAGCAGGACCCTCACCAGTACCCCTGGCTAAGAAGAGAAACTTAGTTTCCAGAATCTCAGCACAGCTCCTTTTTTTGGCCGTCCCTGACTCACCTGGTTATGCCCCAATTCTATTCATCCCTCTGGCTTTCCCTCTCCCTAACTGGCTCCTCCTCAAAACACTATTTTAGTAAATCCGCTACATCTGAATCTTTGACTCATCAGCAGTTTCCGAGGCAGCAGTCCCTGGAATCCCTGCCTTCCTCCCCACCCCACTTCTTTCTGAGGCTGAAAGGCCAGCCCCTGCCACTGTGAAGGAGACACCCATTCATCTTCTCATGCTCTTCCATTTTGCTTTTCTCCTGTACCCACCCAACCTCCCGTGTCCCCTGCTCCTCTCAAACAGCTTCGCTGTGTTCTCTGGAAGCATCCTACTAAAGGATCTTCTACAATAGTCTATTGCTATTATTTCCTGCTGCCTTCTTGCTCAATTGAAACCTGATTCTTCCCCTAAAGCACATTTCCCTTTTTCCTTTTTCTCAAGAAAAGCTGCTCTTTTGCTATCTTTTTCCACAATAGCAAATATGGAAACAAAGTTGGCAGTCTCTCCTATAACAAGGCTCATTCCCAACTATTATTTTTATTGTTAGAGTTTCTATATTTTACTGTCTGGAACTAAGTTTCTCCTGAAGTGAGCTTTGCTTGTACATGGAAGCACACCTAGGGAATGGCGATAGTATTTCAGCTCCATGGAGAATATATGGTTGGGTTGGTCACTCTTTATAGATCTTACAGAGCTGAAATGGCTTTGAATGAATGCACATCTAGAATCATCTGTCGTGGTTTCCCATGCTTCCTCTTCTGTTGTCTACTAGATCTTGATTTAGAAAATCTAAAACTCTATGATGAAAAAATCAAGAACTTCAAAATTAGTCCTTTCTCTTCCACCTAGTCTATCATTTTTATATGTGAAGTCCTGCTCTTATCACCCAGAAATTTCCGTTGCATCCCTGTAATCTCAAATTGAGAACATCCTTCTCTCAACCCTTTATCATTTGAATTCTCCTCTCCTTTCTCCCTTCCTGTCACACTACCGATTTTAAGATTTTTGAGTTCAGACTCCATCAATTGTGCCTATTTTCACTAAAACTATTATTTTTCCTAGGTCTTTTGTAAAAATATTTAATTGTTTGAAAAAAATCAATATTTCTTCTCCTTGCCATGTAGTTCATCTTTGTAATTACAAAGCTGCCAGCTTAGTGTATCCTTTATTAGATTAGTAATATCATCTTTCAATTTGGAAATCTTTAAGTGTATTGTCTAGAAATTAAATATGATTACTTTAAAAGTAATGTTAAGCCTCACCATCTTAAAGATAGAACTATCACCGAAGTTGTTCTTAATAATACTAGTGCTATATAACTGACAGCACCTTCTAATGATTACAGTTAAGTCAGAAATGGGACAGAAAGAACAGGCAAAAGATTTTTTACTTCAGAATATACTGTATGCCAGTTCTTTTACCTAGAGTAAATTAAGTAGAAAAGGCCTTGTTTATCAGAGATAGAGCAGAAGTCAGAACTTGAATTAGCTACAGCAAAGGCACTCACTCAAAACAAAGTATTAAAATCAGAAGGCTATAATTGTATGCTTGTCTATCTTATCACTTGAAGGTTAGTAGTTTAAACTCCAAATGGATGACAGTGATACAGTTATATTCCAAGATCAAAAAAGAAAGAGTAGCCTCATTCCTTAGAATTTAAAAGTCAGCCTCCAAGGAGAAATGTCATAGTTTACACTGGGAAACATTCTGAGGATAGCTGTTACAAGAAGCTGTACCTGCTTGTTGCATCCTTCTGTCCGACAGAGAGGGAGGCAATAGGATGCACTGAAGCAGAGATTTGATGGAAAGGAACTTCCAGGAGAAAAATTCTTTCGAAGTCAAAAGTTGTGTTCAACATAGACATACAGATACTTTTGAAGATGGCAGAACAGAAGATATATATTGGGAAACTTTGGTTTGGGTTAGAGATTTTTAAGAACATAAATATTTAAGAAATATATATTGGGAACTTTGGTTTGGGTTAGAGATTTTTAACAACATAAATACCACCACAGAATTCCAAAGAAAGATGTCTATGTATTAGAAAGTTAATATTGTGTTGAAAAGGACTTAAAGAGAAGCAAAAATGCAGACCTTGTGAAATACATGTTTCAGGGAAGTAGAATGAGCTTGGACCCTAATTGTTGTTTATAGAAGCCGAGTTATAGCTTTGGAAAGTGAAACCCAGTAACAGTCACACCTGGAAGAAGACTGAGGAGGAAGAAATTTTTGCTAAGAACATAATTTGTATTTTTAAGGATTTAAAGCAATTCAGGGGTGTGGGACTCTTTGGAGGCCCCTAGACAGCTCCTGAGAATCCTCTTAGAGAGGGCAAGGTCACAAAGGTTTACATGTCTGCAGTAGGAAATCAGTTGCACACATTTATTAAAAAACTCAGAGGGTACTTTTGTGTAACAGTTCAAAAGAAAATCTCCACTCTTACTTAGGTAAGTCTCTAGGAAATTAGCATTGATTTGACATCTTCAGAAGAAAAGCACCTTCCTTATACATAGTGGTCAGAACAAGGAGCCATCCCGCAGCCCTGATGAATGATAAAAACATTCAGACAGCTGTGTTCTCTGCTAAGCACTGGGAGGAAAGCTAAATCCAGGAATCAATCTTCTGCCTAGCTCCAACCAACAGCGGGAGCACACTGGTGGGGCAGAAGTGTAGAGTGGGCAGAAGCTTTATTCATAGAATTTAAGGAACAACCAAACAGTTAGGGCATTCAGGATTATGCTAGGGGAAATTATTTGTTTAACTTTTACATCTATATTCTGGATAACATTGCATACTGAACACTTGGTAGAAATCAGACATCTTGCTAAACACTTCAATACTTTTAATTTATTCTTCATAGTAAGCCTAGGAGCTCCTAACTACTCTGATTTACAGAATAGGAAACTATGGTTCAGAGTAAAATATGCAACTGGTTAACTGTAAAATAGGTATTTATACCAAGGATTATTTGACTCTTGAGAATGTATCTTGATTTCTCTACCTTATTGTATCTTTTAATTCCAATATTCTTAAAATGTGGTATACAACACCAGCTTACTATTCTGGACAGAAATGATACACTCCAAGTTGACTTCGTCATATACCAGTAAAACACACACACACACACACACACACATGCATGCTAATTTACAGTATTGTTTTTCTAGTGTCCAAATTTCCAAAAAAAATAGAAACCTAGTAAGGATTAAATTTTTACTGTTTGAATCTTGTCTTTAGGAATTAAAAATGAGAAACATAATGCTGTCCTTTGAGACAGAGAAAATACCTTAAGGGCTGTAATTTCTTGTTTTAGAATTCAGAGATCACTTGATGCCTCTGCTAGAAAATCACTACGAGGGTCCCCCAACCCTTCTCACCAGAAGAGAAAGGGGAAAACTACCTCCTTTTTGCAGTTAACAGGCCTCTGCAGTAGACCTAGATGAATACTTATAAACGCAGAACATACCTTCAGATATACAAAGTCGCAAAATACTTTCAAAACAAATCTTCCTTATTAGTTGGAATATTAGGATTTTTCCTCATATTTGCTAAGTTCCTTTATTTGAATTATTTCAGCAGGATCCTTGCAGACCTTTATTAAGCATTTGTTTTGTACATATGCACTATATATATTTGTACTAAATCAACTTAAAAGACTAGTCAGCATTTTTTCTTTACATAATGTGTCAAGTAAAACCAGTATTTATTTGACTCAGTCATATCTAATTTTAAATCCTACATGTAAACAACTTTAAAAGAAATCCATACCTTCTAGTCAAATCCTCAGTCGATCAGGATAAACTTTAAGTTCAGATGTGACCCAGAAGAATAAGGAATGAGGTAGGATTCTCTCTCTATGAGTAAAGTCTAAGATTTAATTCCTTACCTATAGCCAACCAACAAAACTTTATAATAGCGTACAGGACTCCCTCCTCCAAACTAAACCACACCCAGATCTGAGTCAGCAGGGGTTTAAAAGTCCAAAAATCAAATCACAGTTACAGAAAATACAATGGCACGACTACATTGACCTATAGGAGTAGCGCACTCTGATACCTATGCTATGTGCACAGACTTCACCACCAGCACAACACAGGTGATTCCCCAGGGTGGGACTGTCTCATAACCTTCATGTCCGCAGCAAACCTGTCTAGCCTGCTGAGAGTAGTGAAGAAAATCAGGCAGGTGGTTGCAGTGGGTACTGTCAGTTATATAAGAAAAAAACATGATCCTAAGTGACCTCACCATTTATAATAATTCTTATCGCAGCCCTGGTTACTAGAACACCCAAGTGTAACAAACTCACCTTCAGAGAAAAACCTCCTTTGTAAATACTGCGAAGGGCTTGGCAATGTCCTTTCTTTATCTTTTCCTATCACACTATCAGTACTGACTTTTTACAGTAAACACTAAGAGCCATGTTTTACTCACCTTTGCTTTTTCAAACAACCTGCATCATACCTACCACATGCTACCACAAAGTAGATGGCTACCATTTATTAATATTGAAACACTGGACAAATATTGAATATACATGATGTTATCAAACTATGTGGTGGATATTTAAATTAAAAGGTTGTGTTATAGCAAAAGACACATCTGCAAAATATTCCCCCTCACTTCAAACACATTGTTTTGGTTCCTTTTCTCTTATTGCTGAGACAAAACACTTGGCATGCACGATGAAGGAGGAAAAGGTTTATTTAGCTCACTGTTTGTGGAGGTTTCAGTCCATAATCAGCTGGTGCTGAGGCAGGGTGACATGGCACGGGGGCAAAAGTTCAAGGCAGCAGCCAGACCAGAAAACGGGCACAAGTCTTCTCTCCTCCCTCATATTAAACACAGGCCACACCCCACCCAGGGCAGATGTAGCACTCACACCACCTCTCTGCCCTCTTCTTCCACGGGATAAAGCTATTTACAAAGTAAGGATCCTGGCTCTCTGCTGAGTCTCTTATTAAACTTCTAAACCTCTAAGATGACACAAGGTGTCAACCTGAGCACTGATTCCATATTTCTTCCCACTTTCTGAAAGCAGTTCTGAGGATCTTCATCCATGATTGTGATTAAAAAGCATGATTAAAAATATAGTGAATGCTGCTGCTGAGTAGTATTCAATTAAAGGGCAGGCTCATTAAAACATTAGGCAGAGGTTTAGCTCAGTGGTGTAAGCATCTGCCTGGCAAGTGTGAGGTCATGAGTTTGATCCCTGGTATCAAAAAAAAAAAAAAAATTACAGTGTGTCCTTATCCACTCTCTTCACCAGTTCTAGCAAATGTAACTTCCAGATCTTCCTCAAAGCCAAAATGACCACAAAAGGTAATTTTTTTTTTAAAAGTCAGTGTTTTGAAGCAATTAGTACACAGAGGCATCCAAGATAGAGCAGCTGAAGACACTAACAAAAGTGGCAAGGACAGTAAGAAACGTGTGCTCAAAGTGAGAGGGAGGAGTTTGAACAGGGCTAATGTATCTGTTACTATAACCCTTTTTAAAAATTACAACAGCATATATTTTATCACACTTACTCTGAACAAAAGTTACAGTGACCAAAAGAAAATTCTTTATGATGATGACAAACAGGGTTCTTCTGTCCAGATCAAAGGATGCCATTTGAACCTTGGCACACAACACAAAAATCTCTTGATCATCTGGCCCTGCTTTTGTGCATCACTCAGTACATCCACGCTCCTGCCCCAGAAACCGTCAGGGCAGAGGGCAGAGGGATACGGGGAGCTTCTCTCTGCTTCTTTCCCAGGCCTTCCCTGACCTTCCTCTTCTATTCTGGAGTTGTTCGTGAAGAGCCTTCTATTACTCACTGGAAACTGGGTTGGAGGCCCTAGAACCCTCCCAGAATCACCAAAGCTAACCATGCCAGCTTTTATCATTGTGTAACAATGAGATCTATTATGAAATGAGATCAAACTGAGGCTTCCTTTAAAAATGCAGGAAATCCCAGCTTTCACCTCTGAATCTCAGGGGCCATGTAACTTCCAATACATCACAGTCACTGTATTGTTACTTTAGGGAAGTAGCTCAGATCCTAAAGTATTAAAGCATACACATGGGGGTGGAGAGAATAGACGTTCACAAAATCTTAAAATAGAAGAATTAGATACTCTTTGAAGATATTTGAAGTTTCAGGATAAAATATCACTGACACAGAGATACTTGTCATGCAGGGATTGTTCAAGTAGGAGGTAAAAATAGAATTTGGGTTTTTAAAAATATCAGTACCTGAGAGATAAGGGATGTTCCAAGGTGTATATTATAGTGTATATAATTTGAGCGAATATTTAAAACTAGATCAGTGATTTTAGATTATGTACCTTTCTTTTGGAATGTATGTGTCATTATCACACGAGGGAAGGGTACCTAGACCCCATATGAGGGAAACTTGTGAGGTTCCAGTATTTAGAACTTCAGCTCTTAGGCACTGAGGTCCCTCAGCACTTCAGATAGCAGTTGGAGCTCTCCCCTGCAAAGTTCCTCCAAAATGTTTTCAAGTTGCCGAGAGGAGAGAGCATATGGAATATTGTTAATTCTGATTATATCCATCATGCACATGCACCTACACCAAGGCTCAGAGAAGGATTTAGAATAACGTTGGCATTTAACACTTATTAAATTTGCAAAAGTTCTGAAAAAATAAAAGTGTAACTGTCATGTAGGTGGAGGATGGAAGAGTAGTTATTCGTTGAGTATTTCAGAGATCAAATAGGGCTAAAATTAATAATGTAACTGGAGTCTTTCAACTGTCAAAACACTGCAGAAGAAAGTGAATTTGAACTCTTAAACTGGGAAGTAGGCAGACATGACTAAAATGTAGATTTTAAATTGGTCTGAAACAAACTAGACAGTCTAGTCTTCATATACTAGGTACTTAGAGAACTAATTCAATCAATATTTATTTTCTGCAAGGGACAATCTCCTAATGTTCTGGCTAGTAAAAAATGATTAATGTGTCAGATTCACATATTTACTTCCCAAGATGCTAAGTGTGACACGTCATCATTTATGTATATCCTCTTTTCTTGTCCGTCACTGATGCAGAAATGCCACATCAGTGCAGGGGGACCCATGGCCTTTCAGATAGTCTCCTCTTAGTTCTCTGTTTTCTAATATTTCTACATGTCTCAGCTTTACAGCAGCCTCTACACCTTTCAGATCCATAGTACATCCTTCACATTCCTGTGAAGTGCTCTCTTAATGATCACTCTGGAAAACAGACAAGGTAAGTGATATTCCCACCTCTTTAAGGAAGAGGAGACAGGGCTAAGAGGGGACAAGTGTTGCACTGTATGAAGGACTATCAGATTTGGGCATTACATTCAATATATTCATGCTCCTCGCATATCTTAGGCCACCTTTTGCCCTTACACTGTTGAATCAACCAGCTCTACCTTTGGAAGGCAGATTACTTCCATATTCTGTGTCAAGGCAGATTACTTCCATATTCTGTGTCTTTGACCAATATCCTGAAGGGCATTCTACATGGTTCCTTAAAGCATTCCTATCAGAATCAGGCCCCATTGCCCCTGAGGACAGACTACTCAACAGCACAACTTTGAACTAGCTCTCCATTCTTGTGTCTCCCTCTTCTCAGGCTCTCCCTCCTTATTCCCTGGGCTCATTTCTCAAAAGAATGTACTTTCATGAAAGATTTATCTTAGCCTCTGCTTTACATGGGGATCCTCATTTAAAATATGGTACAAATATATTTTCTCGATTTTCTAGCCCATGTTTCTTATTACCCTATTAATCACCAGACCTAAAATTCAATATTCATCTTTTTTTCCATTTCCAATTACAAACAAACAAAGGCTATAAGATTTAATATTTGAAAACGAACTCTAATCTATTTATGCATTGAATGTGCTATACACATCAGTTACTTTGAATTGGAAATTGAGGTTACTTTTAAGATAGTGATTGCTTAAGAAGTATGCATATGGAAAAATGAAAAGAAACACATAAGCTGCCCTTCTACAGATGACATAAAAGAGCTGAAAGTAGCTATCTTTACTCAATGACATTTTAGTCTAGAAAGCTTCCACACCTATAAACTTCCAAGTTGGCTCCTTTTCAGACTACTTTTTCTAATAAAAAGTAATATTTTTATTCTTATGGATTCTTATTTTAGTGATATTGATCATTTCTTTTGTACAATGCCACTAACTAGAGAAAACAAAACTGTATCTTTATACCTATGAAGTTTATGAAAGTACTAATATGAATAATTACCAGAGGTAATGAAATATACAAACATGTACTGGTGGAGGTTTGCCCTTCAAAAACTTACATATGAAACATGGTTATTTAGACCAACTTATTTCTGATACATGAATGATTTAATAAAATAATAAATGAAACCTTTGAAGTGAAATACCATGTTTCTATCTGTATACTGTTACAAAATTTAGACAAAAAAAATGCTAAACATAAAACTATTTTTGATTTGGAAAGGACAAATCTAAACATAATCATCCAAAGACATAACTCTATTTGATCTGTGCAGACCATCATATCAGTTGGTCACATTGCTTCTGATACAAGAGCCAACAAGGACCACTTCATAATATTTGACAGATTTCAGATATCAAGAAGCTTGCCTGTAAGCATTGCTGTGATTTCCTGTCACTAAAGATTGAGATGTTTGACTGTAAATATGCCTATAAATATGGAGAAAAGAAACTAAGCTTCTGGGTCTTAGATATATTACTAAAGCATTTATCACATGAAACAAGTGACTGAATTTATCCTACAACTTTTCTAAGGTTCATATATACCATCTGTGTAAAGTAGTGAATGAGTCTCAAAGCAAAAAACAGAGACACATGTATGAGTTACTATTCTATG